AGTGCGCTTTTGTGAAGAGGGCGCCACCAAATTTTGAGGACACTTTTTTGATTGACTCAAAGAGAGAAGTGGCCCATCTTGTCTTGTACTATCTTTGGTGTAACCAAAACATCGGGTAAAACTCCACAGGAAGATCATCACTTCCACAAGCAGTTCCATGTCTTCGTCTTGTATAGGTGTCAGGCCTCGATCAAACATATTGACGATTTGTGGTACCCCATTCCCTCCTGTTGTCAGACCTCTTGATTAGTTCCGTTTGTTTTTCCTGATTTGCAGTGTGAAATACATTGTTACCTTAGTACCACACTATATGAGTACAATGTTTATGTAGTACGGCACTGGGATTATTAAATTTAGCGTTCAGTGGTTGGACTTGAAAGAATTTCCATTTAGTGCACTGGGATTATTAAATTTAGCGTTCAGTGGTTGGACTTGAAAGAATTTCCATTTAGTTACATTTGCTACGAGTTAACTGCTTTAATAACACCAGACAGTTATCTGAGTATTGCGCAAAATTATGAGCTCTTGTTGTTTTAGTCCACAGCACTTGCAACTCAATCAGGTCATATAAGGGCCGAAGATTAGACGTGTTACAAAAAAGTAACATACCAGCTGACCAGAAAAAAAAGTTCATACAAAGAAATGTTAATAGCTTTCTTGTTTATGATCCAGTTGAGATCAAAATTGACCAAATGCTACAACATCTATCCGGATTGCGTTGTTGTTTTTTAAGTTCAGTGCTGTTGCACAACGGAAGGATGATAAAACAGTTAACCTCGTTGCATTATCCTTGTATCAACAAACGAAATCTCCCAGGCCTACATGTGTATTATATGCTCGGGCATACAAGATATATATCTGTAACAAACATGATGTTCGAAGTAAAAGGTACATTTCGAAATGGGTTGCAAATTTTGAAAGGTTTGGGTCTATAAAAGAACAACTCGAATTCTTAAAGCCGGGTAGCTATAGGTAGGCAGCCAGTAAAAACAACGCACTTTTGGAATGGTTAGAATGATCCATGAAGTCTGACCGATACCTCGTCTTACTGCCAAAATTTTTGAAAAGCTTAGAACAGTTTGTTGATGATGAAGTGAGACAGAACCAGGACTTCTATAAAAACGGGACAGCTCGTCATAACGTCAAAGCTGCGACAGATCAGTACCCATTAATTTGGTTACAGACCAGTCAGTCCAACTAAGCACAACTGAACCCCAAAGATCCGGACCTGAGTTCAGTGGACTTTCAATGTTTGATGTGCTGGAAGGACAAGGTGCGCGCTGATAACCTTTGAAAGCATCCAAGATTTGAAAGAAACCATCATGGGGGGCACGAAAGAGATTTCCCCCGATCAATGTCTGCGCCTGATTGTCAGTTTCACTCCGCGTGTCAGAATGTGCTTTACGCGAAATCGGGGGCATCTGGAAGATATATTGTAACTTTGTTTGCAGTGGTCATATTTTATTGTTAATAATACAGAATAGATCCGGATGGATGTACCACGTTTCTGCGAACTGAAATGTTTGTACCTTAATCCATAACGGTTTTATCGGCTTTCTTTTGGATGTACTTTTTTCGGGTTACCTGCTACAAGGAGAAAACGGAGGAGAGATAAGGACGACAGACGTTTGATAAGAAAGAAGGCGCAAACCACAGTGCAAACCACACCAGAGCACCTGCCAACCACCCACGAGTGGTTCTATTTCAATTTCAAATTTACCAGCGGTAAATTCATTTTGATAAGACAGATTATTTTCAAGACACGCGTAACTTCGCTTCCCCCTTGACACTCACCACGAGTCTTGTACACTGCACGTGCTATACATGAGACTACACAATACATAACTAAGAACAGCAACAAAAAAATCAATAGTATATTGTGTGTAAGCCGATGTGGCGTCTGTGATCAGCAGGTCGAAGATTTATCGACTCGCTTTTTCCGGAAAGTAGATATATTATGAGACCAATGTCCAAGCCAGCGGTGGTGCCACGAGTTCACTAATTACTGGTATTAACCTTCCCCCAGCCGCCATGTAGCACACGACATGGAGGAACACGGTTCTCTGTCTGGAACGTTTTAGCTAGATCAGGCTCTAACCGACAATGGGCAGTTTGCGATGTCGACATCCCTGTTTACTCTTGGTTTGGTTTGGTTTTGTTTTGGGGGGTTTTCTGTTGTTTTTGTTTTGTTGTGTTTTGTTTGTTTTTGCTTCGTTTTGTTCCGTGGGGGTAGTGTGTGCGTGTGTGTGTGTGTGTGTGTCTATGTGTGTGTGTGTGTGTGTGTCTATGTGTGTATGTGTGTGTATGTGTGTGTCTGTGTGTGTGTGTG